GCACAGGCAGAGAAACAGGAAGTGAGCTGTATGTCAGACCCACTGTGTGCAGATCTAATCAGCGTTGCTGACATCCTTGACAGTGACTTATTTTGTAAACCATGGTAATAAAACTTCATGAGGCTTACTTTCATATTCATACAGTCAAATTTGGGTATATAAGACTGAATGTGTGGAACAGGTGAGCAGTGAATAGCACTGATGATCTATTGCAATGCAAAGTTTGGCTGGAGAATCTCAGATTCTGGTATTTAAATGGAGGACACTGTGACATGGACCACACACCCAAACATTCGTGCAGATCAGTTTCTAACTTCACTCAGTGTTTATCTATGGGAATAAAGCGAGTACAGTAGCAAACCATACTCACGCTACAATGATTCCCATAGTGATCGCACCAAGTCAGAAAAAGAACCAGAGATTATAATTTAGCCCATGTTTGGGGAGAATGATGGAGACTTCAATAATATAAAGCAGAAAGTTTTCATGCTGTGGCTAATCAGGAAATTCTGTTTAAAAAGTTGTTTAATAAAGATAAACGGTTACAAATTTCAGTTAAAAAAAAAAAGATTATCACCTGATCCACGGCGTAGAAGATGTGGTCGTAGACGTCCTGCTGTGTGTAAACGGCAAAGGAGTCATCTGAGGACTCATCGTAGTCCTTGAGGAAGATGTGCTTGAAGGTCATAGTGTTCTCCTCCTTAAAGGTCACCACCACCTGGTTACTGAGGCCAAACAGCACCAACTGCGGCAAAAACAAGCACGGGGTATAGAGAATGATGTGAGGACGATAAGAAGCTGTGACAAAGAAAAAACCCTTATGTGGTGCGTTACTGTTACAGCCCCTAAACAGATAATGTTTCATATTTGATATTCAATTTGTGTGAATGTTGAAACTTCTACATCATCAGCGTGATTCCCATTAAAATGTACGGAACCAGAAATGTCTCCAAATCAAGAGCACCCCCAAAAAGAAATCAGCATTAAAGTATAATATATGATGTACCTGAGCGGTGACAAAAAAAATTTTGGCTAGCTGCAGGATCAGTTTAAAAGGATAGCGCCCCTTGGCATGATATTTATCACAAGGGCTCATAAAGAAGTATTTTAGCTTCCTGCAAATCGCCTCCTCTTCCTCTCCAGCGTGGACCCAGTGACATCCTGCTGCTGTGGCAAACCGGTGGTGGTTACAGTTGTTGTCATGACTGTTAATTTGATAGTCATCCTCGCCACTGCTGTCTGTGGAGCCGTAGCGAGTCACCGGAGAGGGAAGTCTTTCCCGCTCTGATAGGGGGGGGGAAAAAAAAAAAAAAAGATTTTAATTTTTCTAAAATATATCTTTTTAAAAACACTCTTTAAATTGGCCAACAAGTTTACAATGAGACCCTGGTTGTTCGGTAAAAAATATTGTCCAATGTATCAGTAATTTACCAATAAACTGACCTGGTCTACTAATGCAACACGTTAGTTGATAATGGTGTAGAATATATGCAAGACTAGAACTGAAATCCAACATCTGAAGCAGACTTTGGTCCAATAGAACATGCTGTGAAATCTTTCAGGTCTGGTTTTCATTATTCACATAACACAGCATTGTATCTGAGGACTGGTATTCATCAATGTTAAGAAAGGTAAACCCACATGTGCAGCGTTTTTCTCGAACTACTGGAAACTTCTCCTGAACTTACTTTAGTTTACTCACTCTTCATGCAGTTGTTTTTTTTTTATTCATTTTTGAAAACGCAGCTTGTTCCTCTCAGTCAGTAACACTTTGATAATCGCAAAAATCTTTGCATTTTATTGACTTTAATATAATCTATATCAGATGCTTATTTATAAT